TGACAAAGGATTTTGAAGGCTTCAGGTTGTATTTTGGGATCCAAAAATAAGGTAATTGTTGAGTCCTGTCCAAAAATAGCACGGAATTTTCAATTTCAGTGCTTTCAGAATATTGCTGACTAACGTAACCTGATAACAATGCCCCCATTAATTCTAACCTTTTTAAGAGTAAGGAGATTTTAGTGGGGCTACCTCTATTTTTAAAAGAGACAAAGACCTTTTTTGATTTCTTTATTATTCTGTCGGTGAAACGTTAAATATGCGACTGTACCATAGGCTTTGACACTTGCATCTGAAAAGCAATGTAGTTCGAGATTTTAGACATTAATGTTCGAGTGCATGAAAAAGTAACGAGAGATGGAGAATTCAGCCATTTGAGGTAGCTCTTCACATCACTTTCTCCATTCCGAGGGCAAATCTCCAGGCAACGGTTCATCCCAATCTATTTGTGAGGACCAAATCTTCTGTATTAAGCACTTTATTCTAACAGTGAAAGGTCCTAAAATTCCAGTCGGATCGAATATCCGACCCAACACTTGTAGAAGAAGTTATTTTGTTTCTATTGGTTTAGATGTGAAAGACAAGAAGTTCCGAACATTAAAATACAGTAAATCCTTTGAATTATCCCATGCCATACCTAAGACCTTAAATGGGAAATTTTCTCTATTAAAATTTTCAGGATTTTCATCCGGAATGATACCCTGTTTTACCCACAACTCATGTAGTTGTCTCGAGTTACTATACCATTTGTGAAGCTGCATGCTTGCTTCCTTAAATATTTGGACTGATTCTAGACTCATAGTTAATGCATCATTGATCGTTGGTTGGCTTCCTATCACATCATCAACATATACGTTCTCATTCAAAAAGTGAACCGTTGTAGGATAAAGTTTATTATAATTTTTCAGATGATGTTTAATCGTAACGGCTAATGGAAATTGGACTACTATTTTATTCCGAAATAAAACTCTAGTGAAACCTATAATATGTCAGGAGAAATGGTTTTCATCATTAGGAGAATTCGGAAAACAGGAACCTGGTTGCGTCTCGATCTTTTTTTATGTATGAGAATCTGTAAAAAGCTACCTGTTTTATATCTGCGGTGAAGGCTATTGGATTATACTGAAATCTCAACAATAATTAAAATATTTCAGGGTATAAATTTGGCCCGACATGTAGACAGTCATTTAAAGAAATGGATCCTGGGGCATACGATTATGCATCATAAATAATACATAATTTACTTGTAGCTCGATCCTCGCATATAACTTCCGTATGTGGTAAGTAAAACACGACATCCTCTTCATTTGAAATTTCTGTAACTGGTTCGATAATATTTTGTTTTAACTTATCTCTTAATACGTTCCTGTATTCAGGAAATAGATTAGGATTTTTTTTAAATCGTTTTCCAAATCGATGAAATTGTTGTTCTGCGATTTTCCTATTATTATTATTTAGATTTGATGTGTTTCCAAGGCAATCTAACTTTATAGCGAGAATTTTCATACGTTATATTTGATTAGAAATATTCGATGACTTCATTTTCAGTTGAATCAAAGTTTTCCCTTTTATTAATAAGTCCTGAGTTTTTTAAGTCTCAAAATTTTGTTATTTGTTTAGAAATCAAATCTTACCCTACAACTACATTGAAAGCTAAAGAGACATCATAATCACCTTTTCGTCCTTGTAGGCACCAGCCGAAAATAGTTTCCACTGCAACAAGATTTTTGCTTAAGTATTTAGCGTGTCCCATTACTATGTTGTAATAATAATCCGTACCAATTAGAATGGCAATGGTTTTTTTACAATCGGGAAAGTCTGAGAGCATCAAATTTTTTAATTGTCTGTTTTGTTTAATTTCTTCTGATTTAGGAGGAGGAATATCTGTACCTGATATATGATCAGTTATTAGTAATTCAACTTCCATTCCAGAATCGGGAGAACTTCTATGTTCTAAAGTTAATTTAACTACGTCATAATTTTCTTGGATGGGTGAGGTATTCCCAAAAGTGTAGACAAACAATTTTTCTTTTCGTATGACTTCGAGGTTTAATCTGTCCGCTAACTCGCGAGCACAAAAACTTTTCATACTTCCACTATCCAAGAGAAGTCTGGCAAACACCTTTTCCTTAGCTGTTTTAACTTTTATCGTGCAAGTCTGTAAAAGAATTGTGTTATTTGCACTATGTGAAATGGTCGAAACAATTTCTTCTTTCTGTTCCTTAGTTTGTGTATCATTTTTCGAAATTGATATAATATCCTTTTTATCACTTGGTGTATTTTTAACTATCGAACTGGATTTAAAACAGATGGCTTCTGAATCTTTACCTTTGTTTACCTTTACAAATTTTAGTTTGAAGTTGCCGGCATTGTGAGATTTTGTGCTTAGGGTCCAGGCAAAGAAAACACCACACTTGGTTCTTCAAAATATCGCTCTTCTCATTAACTGTGAAGCATAAGCAGGACTCTGAGTCATGATTTTGAAAACAAAAAATGCAGTTTCGATTTAATGACGCAGCTGCCATAAATTCATGTGTGGTGACAGTTTGTTTATGTTTCGGCGTCGGTGGATATCTGTTAATACCTTTCATTTCCGGGTTTGACTTGCGTGGAAAGGATAAGGAATTAATTTTTTCTCGCGATTCTATTTCTAATCGGAGAAAGTCTAGAAATTTGTAAATCATAGGTTGAAGGATTTTCAGCATTTGTACGATGAAATTCTAAAGTTATATCGTTTAGGACAATTTTCATCAAAATTGGAATAAACATGTTTAAATATGTTTCTGGTTTCACACCGAATGCTAAAAGGCTTCTGACTTGAATGTTAATTGTATCATAAAGTTTCGCAATTTTGCTACTTCACTTGAACTTTGAACAGGATTTAAATTTAAGAGATTAGAAATGTGTGTATTGATAATAAGGTCACTTTGACCGAATCTATTTTTAAGAATGTCTGTAGCAGAGTCATAATTAGCCTCTGAGATTGAGAGACCTTCTGTGGCTGATGCTGCGTTTCCACATAAATAAGTTCTCAAATAATTCAATTTTTCGATCTTCGAAAGTTTAACATTGTTATGAATAGTGACCTTGAGTGAATTCCAAAAATTAATCCAATCGTTATAGTCTCCAGAAAATTGGTGAATTAACAGTTTGCGCAATTTCACATTGCCTTCAATCTGTCTTTTGGTTTCAACTTCTGTAGATGAATTATTTAAATTCGTGTTGATATTTTGAGTATTGTATTTCCTTAAATCATGGTTGATTTTAGACTTCGTTAGTATTATATTATCGTTATATTTCATAGAAGTGTTAATATCTGAATTTAATTTTGATTCATCTTCAATCAAATTTTGTATTTTTTCATTTAAATCATGTAGTTCTGTTTCTTTACTATTTAACAATTCCAAACAATTTTCTAACTCTTCTTGTTTTTCTTCTTTTAAATACTCATCTACATTTTTAATAATTTGAGTTACAGAAGCGCGTATATATGCACGTTTTTTCTTTAGTGTCTTCTGTTCCTTTTTAATAAATTATTTAATGAGACTTACTGTGAGCAGTCTTCGCTTACAAAGCTAATCCAAGAGGCGAAAAACACAAAATTTCAAATTAATCAGATCTTTCCCGTAGCGGATGCACCATTTGAAACGAAAGTATTCTAGATCAAATTCAAATCACTCATAATCCAAAATGAGATGCATGGCCTGGAGGGTTTTACATAAATTTTAATTAAACTTAATATTTATATATATACAATGTAGGCTAAAATGCCTGAATCAAATATTAAGGCTCAAAAAGCAAGAACTGAATAGTTCCATCAAAGAATCTAAATCGAATTCTATTGCATAGTGCATTGAAATTCTACCTTCAAGAAGAAAAATATTTTTCCAAGTCACGTGTTCAGAAGGGGAAGGGTTAAGTAGGCCAATAGATGGTCTCCTAATGCCATCTCTTGGCGATATCAAAGAATATTCCTTAACAGATGGTCAATAGATCATCACCTGCCGTGCGTCAAAAAGGCAGGGCAGGTTACATAACACCAAAGTATTCTTAAAAAACTATAGATCACTTATTCTAAATTCAAACAGCTCTAAATGGCCTATGAATATCATTTACAAAATATAGTTGTAGAAATGTCCGTTAAATTTCTCCTGAGCAATGCTCATAACACTTCCCAATATAATTAGCTTAAGTTTGTAATTGTAGCCAAGCGAAATGCGTGCATAAAAAGTTGCCATGTTCTTTAACATTCAGTTACTGATATTTAAAACCAAAATTGTTTTAGATATCACTGTGTGAATCATTTCTCCAGCTGCAGTAGGTTGATAGTTATGTGGGGATAAAAGAAAAAAAGTAATAAAAAATTATTTCCCAGGTTGGCATAAGGGTTATATGATATTCAGTCAGATGTAAAATCAGCAATAAACTTTGATAGAATCTTTTGGTTTGAGATGTATGCCAAGCAATAAGGCAGTTAATGAGCTAAATCATTGATCATATAGGTCTATGCTAATAAATGTCTATGCTTCCACGTTGAAGAAAGACGATAATGTTTCTTCAACATGGAGGTGTTTTATTTAGTGCTGAAATAAAATTAAGAATCAGAACCCGCCACATGTTTTATTATAAAAAATGCCTACTGCACATGAATGAAGCATATGGTACTGTCAGAATCTAATTATGTGTCCCTTTTTGTCCTATTTGTCTCTATGAAAAAAAATGCTAGTGGTCTGGATATTATATCATTCCAGATACTGGATGTCTGGATTTATGACTATGTCATTTGCTTCTGGAAGTCTTTATAATAGCAAGTGAATAAATTTTATATTTTACGTACATAATTAGATTAAATAATATGATATTATTTGAGAAAATCTAAATTTGTGTTTTTTTTTTTTTTTTTTTTTTTTTTATTGTTAATAAAAACACCCAGTATTTTATAATTATCATTTTTCTTTCATGCTTGTTTACATTTTGTACGAATTCAATTTTATATTTAGGATCCACAAACTGCTATTCCAAAAGGAACCTTTCTTGCTATAATCATTACAACTATAAGTTATCTATGGTTTGGCTTTACTGCTGGATCTGTTGTTCTAAGAGATGCTAATGGAAATGTAACTCTTGCATCAAACGGGACTGACTTAATCGGGGACTGTTCTCTTGCTGACGATCAGAAATGTAAATATGGACTGATGAATTACTATGAGGTAATGTCCTATTCTGTTAACATGGTTTTTAGTTACTCATGTGAATTCTATGAAATTGAACTTCAAAGCATCTGATTCAGTGACAAAACATACTGTGTAAAAAAGTAGATATCTATTTAAGATATGATCTTTTCATATCTATATATAGATATCTACTTTTTTGCATAGTATGTTATGGTTAGTGTTGGAATACATCATTTCTGTATTCAGAGACTAACTGGAGATATCCTAAATCACTAGTAATAATGAACTCTATATGTAAGATGTTTCTAATTTACATACAAACTATGCTAAAGTTTTATTAATAAATGATGTATAACAACATATTTGTATACGGTGAGAACACTGCTGGCTGACTGTTATGTATCAGTGATATTTAACCCTCTGAGCAGCCTGGGTTTTGGAATCTGTTTATGAAGACCTGCATCGAAACCACATTTAATAGCAAAATTTGTATAATTACTTATTTTAAAGCAAAATGTTTTAAATTATAAACTGTTTCAACAAGAGACAAAAAAATCTCATGACCAGATAAAGGGGGTCATGCCACTCGAGGAGTTACAAAAAGGTGTACAGGAAACACAATATAGAAATTTCTTACCACATCAACTTATAACAGCAGGCTTTTTAAAACATATGACTCCTTTATGAGTGGTAATTAAATGCAGAAAATTGAAATTTTTAGGCTGCATTAAACTATATGTAAGGGACCCAGATATTGCGATTCTATTTTATAGTTAAAAGCTCTCTTTGTATTCAAATTAGTAGTCTAGTGCTGCTTTATTAATTTCTGTAATAAATTAGTTGCAGTTGAGTGTATGTATGCTTATACACCATGAAAATGACTCCCATCCTAGTTCATGCCATACGGAACTGAACGTCATTTCTGTGGAAATCAATTACATTGGCATATAAGGCCTGTTGTGCAACTGGACTATCCACATAGTTAGATAAGGCAGAACTACTTTCTTGTACACAGAGTTAAATACTCATTTGAAGTGCAATATTAATTTGTATACAATTTTTTTTCTGTGTATTTTTTAATTAAAAAGTCTGACATGTTAAGGCTTTAAAATTGTGCAATATTTAAATGCTTTTTACTTTATAAAAATGTGCATTTAGATATTGTGCATGTAGCATCTTTTTTTAGCATATTGATGGGAGTATTATTTTCAACTATTCTTAAATTTATTCTTTTAATATATATTTAAATTTTGTTTTCTTTCTGGACGCTATATGTAGTAATTAAAAATAACCTTTTTGTAAAAAAAAAAAAAAAAAATTACAGCATTTTATGACTATTTCTTAATGACAGTAGTAACAGTTTTATCTACAGTATGCTCTTACATTGCTGCACATATTGACACTATTTTAGTTATGCTGTTTGTATTTTATTTTGTTTGTGAGGTACTTTAATTTCTTTTAATTAAGTGATTCACATTCTACCATTTTTTATATCCCAAAAGGCACCTTTCATTGTAGTACATAAAATCTACTGTGTCTATTAACCTGTTATTGCTCCCTCCCTATCTCTCTCTCTCTCTATCTCTCTTTTTTTAAACAGCTTTTATAGGCATTTTATATTTTAAAATTATAAACTTTTTTTTGGGGGGGGTAGATGATTATGTAGGTTATGTAGATATTTTGTAGATTATGTAGATGTTTATGAGTCCTTGGGATCCATACCATAAAAAATGAGGGTTAATTATTATTATTATTATTATTTTGATTTGTATAATTCAATGTAAAAATTCATGCTTGAACTCAACCAGCCAATAGTAATTTCACAGCAATATTAACTGTCCAATCAAAATGCTTTGAAAACCAAAACTAAGTCTGACTTGAGATTTCATCCTGAACATTACACACTTGCTTTTCACGGTTTGGCCTAGCTAGACTGCTGTTTGTCTGCTGCTGCTTTCTTGCTACAAAGTTATCAGAAATGTAAGCCTTCTGGAACAGTTAAATTTAATGTGCCGACTTGTGTGTAGCCGCAATATGTTGCTGAAAATAAAACTGAAAATTTAATCTGCCTTCGCCTCTAATTTCCTAGTCATAGATCAAGACTTCTACACTATCAAAATTCCTGCTCTTGAATATATTACATATATATATATGTTATAGACAAAATAGTAAGAAATATAGAACCTAATTCATAAAGACATGAAAGAAATGTAATTCGAAACCAGTAAAATCCCAAAATTTTCCAATAAAAATGTCAAAATATCAACTAATTATTTTCAAATCAGAAAAATTCTCGAAAGCAATTAGTTGTTATTTTTTGACATTTTTATTGGGATTTTTATTAGTTTTGAATTTCATTGCTTTCATGTCATTGCAAATTAGGTTTTAAATTTCTTACAATTTTGTCTATAATTGATTAATTATTCAGCAGCATATTGCACAAAAAACTTTAATTTTTAGGTTTTTGTTTTAATTTTTAATTAAACAAATTAAATTTAAAAGTGATTTTTTTAATGGCAACATGCTGGTAGGTAGATTTATTTCAAATAGTGACAACACATTGCTTTTAAATAGCTGAGTTTGTTAATTAAAATTGAATCTTACATTTTGCCGAATGGCAATAATCTAGCACACTGGAGATAAAAATGTTTTATTTTGAATAGTGTCGCTGCTGCTCACTTTCAAGTTGCTGAGATTATTAGTAAAAAATTCATTAAATTCATACTAAATATGAAATAAATAAAATTAATTAAAAATTCAAAATTTGGTCTTTAAGATACACATGTTTAAGTGGAAGGCTATATGCGTTCAAAATCTGATAACTTTAAAGTATCATCATTTTTCCACAGTGCAAGGAACATACAAGCAGATTCTTTGCTTTTAATAATAGATTGATAGACGATTACTCTTGTTTTTAATATAGAATTTAAAAAGCAGGCTTTTGTATATGTGCTCTGTGTATGTTTCTATCTATTAGGTTATGGAAACAGTTGCTGGTTTTGGACCATTTATCTATGCAGGTATTTTTGCAGCAACATTATCTTCAGCTCTTGCAAGTCTTGTAAGTGCTCCTAAAGTTTTCCAGGTAATTGTGAAAGCATTTTAAATCTTTTCAACATTATTTATATAGATTCTAATCATTACACTAGTTCAAATACTTAGAAATTATGTCAATAATTGAATTGTTTCAGAATCATTTCATTACCTATATAAATCCAGTTATACTTCTTTATTTTTATGATAGAGAAAAAAAATTATGTATTCATTAAGTATTATCATTACAATAATCTAACTGTTTTAAAGGCATTGTGTAAAGATCGATTATTTCCCCATATTCACTTCTTTGCCAGAGGCTATGGAAAAAGTGGTGAACCAAGACGAGGATACTGTTTAGCATTTGTGATTGCTTTAGGCTGCATTGCTATAGGTATTAACAGACTTTTTTAATTTATATTTATATGCTTAACCCCTTCTTGACCGGCGTCGCATCTCACACGTTCGGCGTTTTTATGCTTCGTCGCTCATGCAACGAAATGAAAAATTCCATCTTCGGTACTTATACGTCTCTTTAAATTCTATGATTATTTTTGTATTTTTGAATATCGCTAAGAGATAGCATGACTAGTCCTAGTTTCCTCAAAATTTTCGCAGTGAAATTTCCCACCTTGAATATCTGTTATTGATCTATTAGAATTTCAACTAAAAAAAACTTTCAAGATATTTTTTATAGTTATAGCCCTTTTTGATAAAGTAAGCAAAAAGAAATATTTTTCTTGATTAAATAAATTATTTTGGTTTTGTGATGAATGTGGTTTTTATGTTCTGATGTCCAAGGCAGGTTGTAAAGTTGTTTTAACGATAAGGTTGGAAAACTGTTTTCTAAAGCTTTTTTTACATAATTTTAATAATTTTTATGTAGATACTTTATATTAAACGCATCAAAATAAGAGAGTTAATAAATATAGTATCACATTATATTTTTTTAATTTAAAACATGAGTGCATTGCAGGTAAAATTGGTGATTAGTGGACGACATATACATATTTGACCACCCGTAGATCCATCAAAAACTGCTTACTATCAAAAATATTTTGCGTTTTTGAATTTAGGATAGAACATGTATTAATTTTCAGCAATAAAAGAAATCCTTTTGGGGGGAGGATTAAAAAAATATGACCAAGAAGGGGTTAAGGAAATTTGTTGGCTGTTTATTTTATGATGTATTTAGTATATGATTATTGAATATGTACTTTGTTTCGTTTTTCTTATAGGGGATCTGAATTCTATAGCCCCAATCATATCGAACTTCTTCTTAGCTGCTTATTGCCTTATTAACTTCTCGTGTTTTCATGCCACATTTGCTAGATCTCCAGGTATTTATGTTTTTTATGACATATAAATTTCTGTTTTAAGTCAGTGACAAATTATTGATATTGCTTAATGAAATGAGAAAAGGCATAAAATTGCTATTATAAATTAATTTTTGTAATACTGTCAATTGAAAATAAATTATATTCTATGCATATGTATGATACAGTCAAAAGTCTTTAATCTGGACTCGTCGGGACTTTGGCGATTCCGGATTATCGATTTTTCTGGATTATAAATCATCAGTTTAAATCTGGTAAGATGGCATGCAGAAATTGTAAAATTAAAAATATGAAACCGTAATTTATGAAATAAAGAGCAATTATGATCTAAAAGGTATCAAAATTTACAAAAAAAAAAAAAAAAAAAGCTTAATATTTATTTGTGTACTTTATTAAACATTTCTTTCAACATGTGCATGCGTAAAGCATACATTACGCATAGTCGAAATTAGAAAATAGCAACCAGAAAACTATTTGATGTGTATTCGTGATATTTATAATGAATTTGATTTAAATCATATCAAAGATAGAGTACATCGAGATGAAATATTACATTTAGTAATGAACTATAAGCTGAATAAAATAAAAACATCTGCCCTGAAGATAAGGATATTGCTGACAGATCAACTTCCAGTTCATTGCGCGCCGCGACGTTCCCCTCCCACGCAGAGCAGCGTGAAATTGATAAACAGATTTCGGAATGGTTAGAGAAACAAAGGATATGCCTTTATACATTTTTTGCAGAAATTCCACTTTTTGTTTGATCAGGGGTATTTGTGCTCCGGGGATTTTGAACTTCGATACCCGGAAATTCCGGGGATCGTCGTTCAAAAGGAAGTAGGAATAATAATGAATTATTTATTTTGATCCCGGGTAATTTTGTTTGCTTGAAATTTGAAAGCAGAAAACGCAAGGTCAGTGTGTGTGGTGAAAACTTTTCCTTTTTTTCTCCAAAGGCAGTGATAAGGAATGAAACAGGGGCTTGAAAGGGGGAAAAACTTCTTTTTTGTTCTTCCTTATTGCGAGTTATGACTCATTCCCCGGTTCTCGGAATTCTCTTCTGGATTCTTTTCGGCAAGTAGGCGCGGCAGAAAAAAAAGGGAGAGACTTCGTTCAACCAGATGTGCGATCACGTGACTCTGGGTTCAAAGGTCTTATCTGTCCTGGACGCCTACTCTATGATCACTGGATCTGTCTACAACTTGAGCGAACAATATTGACTCAAAAGAACCGGTATGGACAGCCATCACAACTTATCGGAGAAAGCCATTCTGTGGTCCTCAGTTGGAAGGCGGGTGGGTCCATTTAACTTTACTGGAAGGGGACAAGGCTTCAAGGAGCTTTAGACCAATCGCAGTACAGACGAGTGACGAAATTTATAGCGCGCGCTGGCTGAAATTCTAAGAATATTCTCCCATTATTTCACTAACTCACACGCTGCATTTGTAGTTCGAAAAAAAAAATTGCACAAAACAGTATTATGACCAACACGCAGTAGAATATGCTGCTGTGTTATGTGTGAAAGAAAATCTCGTTTTTTAATGGGAAAGTTAACGCAGGAATTTAGAGGTAAGAAAAATAAAGAGTGATATGGGATACCATGAAAGCAATGGTAAATAGATAAGAGTTAATGAATGAATTAAGCTTACTTCAAATCCTTTTAGAAATAAACAATTTTAATTATTTAAATTTATAATATGATTAATTTGCATTACAATCTAATAGCAAACTAAGTTTTTTTTTTTTTTTTCTTTCTTCTTTTTTTCCCATGTTTACATTAAAAACTGTTTTCCCGTAAATTATTTTACAGTTACTATTCGAAAAATATTTCTTTAAATAAGAAATTAGAAGAAAATGTTTCTTTCTTAATATTTCTTCCCTTTTTTTTTTTTTTTTTCTATGAAAATTATTTCTTTCAGGAAAAGAAATAAAATTCATTCGCTATTACAGTATGGCCGATTGCTGCTGCATTCAATTATCACACACGCATCAAAATGCTTTATTTTAAATAATTTATTCTATAATTAACATGAAAAAAATTTTTTTTTCAATATAAAATATATAACCAAAATTAAACTAATCTATCCTGTATGTGTGATATTAATTCGTTTTGCAATTTTTGTCACACAATTACTAATACTTTTTTTTCAATATTACATTGCTGTTATTTTAATTTTGTATATAAGAACTGCTCAGTTTTAAATATTCTTCCTTCTCAAAAGATTTTGTTCTTTGAAAATAATTAAAAGATAGTAATATTTTCACAATGGAAGTACTAAAGTAAAAATAATCAGTGTAGGTCTCCTGCAGTTCAAGTCCTTATCAAACCAGCGTTTCGACACAGTTTTAAATAGAAAACTAATAATAATCAATATCCCTTTTACAATATAAAAATGAGAATGCTATGAACAGTATTTAATTTTTTTTTTTTTTTTTTTTTTTTTTTTTTTTAAGTTAAGTTTGCAAAGGAACAATGATTTTTTATATACTATAATAGGTTACAAAAGTACTATTCCATGAACAAACCCTCAGTCTTATAGCATTGTTACTTTATAGCATATATACAATAATAATACAGTATAATTCTGCTAACAAGCCCACCAGCCGCCGAGCGGTAGAGTCGCTGAACGCAGGTAGTTTGGTCCGAGATTCGAATCCTGCGAACGAGCTGGACGGCGTTTTCGTGGCTTTCCCCATGTGTGACATGTATACGAGCCAGTTTCCCTTAGAAAGTCCTCACTTAGAAACCAGTTTTAAAACGTATTAAAATTACACACACACACCAAAAAAAAAAAAAAATCTGAAAGCTTTCAGATTTTATATTACTCCCAAAAAGCCATTTTTTGAACGTTTTGCGTGTTACCTTTATTTATTAAATATCATGTTTTTCGCACTTAAACCATAAAATTCAATTCAACAGCAATATCATATAATTTTAAAAAAGCATTTTTTTAGAATTTCCGATACATAGTCTCGCGCGCGCTAGAGATGAAAGTGTTTTTTGTCATTGCTCGCTTTGAAATCATTGGGTTTCTTAATCAAAAACTCATAAATGCTTTACAAAATATGATATATGAAATGGATAGTAATACAAATTCCCAGTTCCAAATTTGGGCCTCCAGATGCCTATATTAGGATGGAGGATTACGTTATTCAGAATTTCATGGCTCTAGGTACCGTTGTTTTATCACAGTGCGAGAGAAACATTCATACATTCTGCAGATTCCTCATTATTTAATTTCTTTAAATATAATAGAGTGCGATAATACTTGGTGGCAACGATTTGAAAAGTGAAACGCCACAAAATGGCAAAACGAAATTAATAGCCCCTCTGGGCTAAAACTTATTTTTTTTAAAAGTATCACACTAGTAGTAGTACAACTACTGAAAAAAAATATTATAAATCTATTTTATAGTTTTATAATTATTATTATATTTTTTTTTTTTTAATTTTTATTTAGTGTGAAGTGGAATTTCGCGTAATAATGAACGACATTTTTTGTGTTCACAGTATTATTCGTAAGGTATTCAACTGTTAGATTTTAAAGTAAACGTAATTCTTGCTGTACATAAATCGAGTAGAAGAAGCTTATCGGATGTCTATATATTTGTATTAAATGAAGAAGGTTTATGTGCTTGATAAACTTATTATCTTCTACATTTTAAAGCGTACAATTACAATTTATCTCTATAATTTCAGGAATAGTATAACCTTTCTTTCAGTAGAAATTGCGTTCTTGTTTTCTGAATGTGGCTCCAAATACTCTCTCAGTTCATCCCAAATTAAAATAACTATAAATTTTGGCAATCTGAAATACGCAATGAAAACATCTTTTGGCAGAGCAAAAGCATCAACATATTTTCTATAAATTCGCCATCGATTCAGAGATCTACGACGGTATTCTTTGTTTAAATATGAAAAAAATCAGCAGCGAAAACACATACAAAGCCATTGTCTACTTAGTACGTCAACTGGACAACCCTGATTGACGACGCGGCAACACTTTTTCACGTGCTTTCGACAACTTCCGTACTCAGAGAATATAGGATGTTGGGCAGACCTGTTTTTTACTAGCAGCGACATCTGGCGGCCCACAACTTGCTGTCGACTCTTGTAGCATAGAATAACCGTCCTGGTGTAGCGCCAATAAGTAGAAAAGGGGGATTTTTTGCCGTATTAGCTATTTTTCATTGATCGCTTCTCAACTTTTTTTTCTCCGCTGTGTAAAATTTTCGTTTCATTTATTGATGCACGTGTAAATTTTTCGTTTTGTTTATTGAAATATTTTTTTTTTATACGCGCAAGAGAATTTCACTATGAAATTTCTCGATATAAATAGTGATATTATATGAATAGAAGAAGGTGTCCGGAATGCATTTAGGTGGAATTGGATTGAACGGAGAGATGGTAATGGGGATACCATCGGCACATGGTGCAAGAAAATAAATGTTGCTGGACAAGCATATTGTTTTTTTTTTTTGTAACTCACTGCTGAAGTATGGTGGGGAAGGATTCAAGGCTTTCACAAATCATTGTAAAACTGTGACGCACATAAAATATTCAAAGTGCATTAGACATTCAATGACTTTAAGTAATTATGCTAATTCAAAAAATACTGATGACTTACTGGAGACTGATGCTCGGCCATTGGATATAGTGACAAGAAGAAGAAAAGCACGCCAAGAGGTATTAATAACTTCGTTTATCGCCGAGAATTCTCTTTCTTTCAATGTAGCTCCCAATTTAATTGAACTCTGCAAACAGTTGAGCCGCGATCAGACGGCACTAAACTCGTTGGAAATGTCCAGGACTACTGCATGTTTGTTATAAGATGAAATATGGGCTCGCAAAAAACTATTAAGGAAAATATCATTAAAACTTTAAAGGAGACTCCATTTTTCTCTAAATTTGGATGAAAGTACTAGCAATGCTCAAGAAAGTATACTGGCAATATTGGTGCAGTAGTTTATGACAACAATCAAAATGAAGTTGTAGTTCATCA